ATAAAGCACTAGTCCCACTCTAAAGATGAGAAAGAGAAGACAAAGATAAACTCCAGGGTACAGGAGCAGCCTAAAGTCACAGGAATATTACCTAACAAAGTATAAAGCAGAACACAGCTTTTCTGCTTTCAGTCAGCTTTGTACACCAGGAAATGCTAGTGCATGCTGGACAAGAGCATCAGATAAGGCTTTATCTCCTGCCTCACTCCTTCCTAAGAGATGGCCCATGGCTGACCCAACTTTTTTTTGTTTGTTTGGTTGTGGGTTGAGGGTATCATCATAGCAATCCCGTGAGACAGATATTTTTACTATTCACAATTTATACACGGGACTGTAGAGAAACACAAAGGTGTGAACAAAAGCTGGGAATTAGTCAATCCCATTTGACTAATTACACCAGGCCCCTAATCTTAAAACACTGTCAAGTGCTCTCTGTTTTGTCAAACAGGGTTAAGTCAATCTTGGTCTGAAAATATCAAAATCCTAAGTGAGTTCTTGGGTCACAATCATTGTCTCACACATCTCACTGCCCAATACATCAAACACGGCACACAAATCTTCACACTTGAGCGAAAAAGCTTGTGTATAAAGTACTGTTGAGCCTTTCAAAACTTTTACAATCGACTTGGACAAGGGCAGCCTGAACAAAATGTGGTACTAAAAAGGTCACCTCAAGCCTGAAGATACAAGTAAAGGAGAAAGTCTAACCCTTCTTTCATCTGAATTTAATGGCTTAATGGGGGAGGGAGGGGCTACAAACTAGCTTTAGGTACGCCACTTACATCAAATTAGTTCAGACCCAAAATACCCCTAACTTTGGTTACTAAAGGCTCAGATGACAATTCCAAGATATCCAATGACTTTGCCTCTTGAATACAGTTAAGGAAGCTGATCACTCAAAATGTTCAGGATTTTTAGGACACTAAAGGGACCTGAGAAATTGGTCATCAGTCTGTAACGCAAAATCCTATCTGCAGTGATAGATTTCCTTAAGCTGATTGTGGAAAGGCAGCTAGGAAATGGTTTCTGTATATGTGTGTGCACTTTTAGAGAGGCTGTGTGCAGATGTGTGTCAAGTGCCCATGAATGCAGCAGATGGGCATGCAGGTGTCCATGTATGCTGATGTGTGCACTTGTTCATGTGGCTGTGTGCAGATGTGCATACAGGTGCCCATGTATGTGGGTGCTGAGACTCTCTCTCCACCTTTATTATCTGAGACAAGGTTTCTCAATGAACCAGAGGCTATACCCAGCCACACTGGCCAGGTCAGTGAGTTTCAGGGATCTGCCTGTGGCCACACTCTCCCAGTGCTGGGGTTAAAGGAATGTGCTATAATCCTGCCTCCCCAGAGGCTACCTTAAATGCCCTCCCCTGATAATGAGATTGATGACTGACTTATATGCCACCCAATAGCCGTGGAAGTAGAAGCAGATACCCACAACTAATCACTGAACTGAACTAAAACCCAGATTCAGAAAAAGACGAGTGAAGCACACAGGGGTCCAGACCAGGCTGGTGAAACCCACAGAAACAACTGAAATGAACATCGGGGACCTCTTGCTCCCCAGACTGATAGCCGGAATACCAGCATGGGACTGATCCAGACCTCAGGAACATGGGTTTCATTGAGAAAACCTCGGAAATCTATAGGACTTAACCCTAGCATAGGTGTGGACTTTGGGAGCCCATTCCACATAGAGGACTACCCCCTGAGCCAAGACACACTGGGTGGGCCTAGGCCCTATCCCAAAGGATATAATAGACTCTGATGACACCCTATGGAAGGCCTTATCATCCAGGGGAAGCAGAAAGGATATGTGATAGGTAGGGTTTTAGTTTCGGGGGTTGGGGGGTGGGGGTGGTGGTAGGGGAGGATGGGAGGAAGAAAGGAACTGGGATTGTCATGTAAAACAATCTTGTTTCTAGTTCAAATAAAAAAAATAAAATAAAGACAAATAAAAAACAAACAAAAAATCCTTCCTCCTCCCCAACTCATGCCTTTTTATATGGGCTCTGAAGGCAGGTCCTCAGGCATGCACAGCAGGCACTTTACCAACTGAGCCATCTCTCCACCTTGTAGTTGTTTTGATCCATCAACCTGATACTATATACCTTGTGAAACCTATGAGACATAAACAAATTAGGAATGAAACACCCGAAGAAGGGTGTGTACTATTATCTACCTCTACAACTTAAACAATATATATATGCATCAATCCATCCTCACAATCAGCCCATCACTGGGCTGACTCCGAGTTGAAGTGCCAGGAATGAGAATAAGAGTGTTTCCTCTCCGGTGGATTTTTCAGCTGTCTAGATCTCTAACTCTGTAGACCAGAGGTCCCCAGAGAGCAGTTCTGAATCTGACAGTGTGTCTCCAGGCCAACAGGCAACTATCGGGTCCTCTCCGAGGTTTCTCGGTGTGGTGGAAAGGAATGGTGACATAGGTACATCACCATCCCCAAAGTGCTTAGTATGGCCACTGTCAGACCACCATCATCCATTTCTGTGACTTTAACACCTGCTATTGTTTCTGCCACTTTTCAGCCCTTACCTTACAAAACCCACATGTCAGTTTCAGAAACAGAGGACGGCATCTCCTTGCAAGGTTCCCAAGCTCAACCAACCCCAGATTATACCAGCTAAAAGAAGGACAGAGAAATGGGAGGGGTACTCTTTATTTAAATATATTTCTTTGTGAAACAGTCACACCATGACCTGAGCTATAAGCTGAACAATTAAAAAATAAACTGTCTAGGATGAAAGCAAGTGTAATACTTTAGCCTTAGTTAAAATAACATTCCCAGGAACTTAATGGTCAATTTCTGGGCAGTGGGACCCTAAACCACAGGAACCACACTGTGTTTTTTTGTTTTTCTTTGTTTTTAATTTGTACCCAAATTTCTCTTGGAATGGTATTTTTGCCAAACTGTTTGTAGAACCTTTACTATGGATCAAGTCAAAGCAGATGGTGAATAAGTCCTTCTAGAAACAGTCCAATCCTAAGTCTCAACTTCAACAGCGCATGTCACCCCACAACACAATGTTTTTATAGATCATTGAGGCTTCCACAGACAGTGTCTAGTATCAATTCACAGAAAAATACAAAGTAGTAAATATTTGGAAAACCAGATAAGTGGGGGAGGAAATTCTAGTTCATTTGGCTGTTCCCAGGCACCTGTATGTATGTATGTATGTATGTATGTATATGCAAATATTTAGTGTAAGATATATACATTGTGAAAAGTTTACACCCTAAGAAAGTAACTTAAAATGCTGGGAATTTAACACTCACAAAACATCCACTGCTCTGGTGTAAATTTTCCAAGTTTTAATACCTAAAATGTCTTAATTAAGAGTCCCAGGATCAGGCCGGGCATTGGTGGTGCATGCCTTTAATCCCAGCACTCGGGAGGCAGAGGCAGGCGGATCTCTGTGAGTTCGAGGCCAGCCTGGTCTCCAGATCGAGTGCCAGGATAGGCTCCAAAGCTACACAGAAAAACCCTGTCTCGGGGGAAAAAAGAAAGAAAGAAAGAAAAAAGAGTCCCAGGATCACATCAGGGGATAAAAAGAGACAACTATTGTGTTTGCTCCTGGGGTTTTAATAAAATTCCAAATCCTTGAACCAGGGTAACCTCAAAAAATGTGGGCGAATCCAAAATAAGTTATAGCATCAATATTTAAGAAGAAAAATTTATATACTGCTGAAGAGCGGTACTAGCCATTCTAACCCAAAATATAAACTATCTTTCAGAGCCATGGATTTGGGAGACAGCATGGGGCATGATTCCAATTGGAGAATACTGAATGAAAAATGTTTTTCAACAAAAATAACAGTAAGTTTTCTTGCTCGTCTTTCAAACAGTGAAAAGGGGTCGTCTAAATAACTGGGGCGGGGGGAGGGATCAGTGTAATCTCAAAGGGTCATTTAAAGACTAAGGATCGCAATGACAGACAAACTGGCCTGTCTGAGGAAGATTCTATACTCATCCGTGCGGCTCTCACAAAAGTAACAAATAAATGCACGGGAAAGAATTAAGCGGGTTATGCGCGGACTGGATGACTGTGTTTTGAGACCTGCTCACAGGAAGCCACTA